AATTGCAATAAAAAACTAGTTGGATTTGGTGCGGATGGCGCATCCGTTAACAGAGGGAGCAAGTTGGGCGTTAAAATGTTGCTCAAGGCTGAAGTCCCCTGGATCACGTTTGGCTGGTGTGTAGCACATCGTCTCGAGTTATCATTAAAAGAAAAATTAGGAAAAACAGCCTCATTCAATGACGTTGATTACATGATTTTAAAAATGCATTACATTTACAAAAAATCCCCCAAAAAGTTAAGACAGTTGGGTGAACTCGTTTCTATTTTAGAAGATGATGAATATAACATTGGTGGTTACCGACCTAAGAAAGCCTCCGGTATTTTCTTTTTTTTGCTTGATTTATTTATCTTATATTTATTACCATTACAGTTATGCGTGACACCTATATTTTTAGTTTTTGTAAGTATAAAGTAAATTATAAATTGTATAATCTTGTTTCATTTTTAGGTACACGATGGATTTCACATAAAGTTCAGGCTTTAGAAATGATTTTAGATAAATACGGTGTTTATTTAACACATCTGGAAAATATGACTGAAGATATAACATTTACCAATGCTGAAAGAGCTAAGTTTAAAGGATACCACAAAAAGTGGATTCATGCTAGAATGCCTCTTTATATCGCGTTGTTTATTGAGATTTTAGCACCAGCAAAGATGTTGTCAAAATGTTTTCAAAGTGATGAGATAGATGTGTTGGCTTCATCAGGGTTTGTTCAACAAGCTAAAAGCCATTTAAATCGTATTCAAAAAACAAAGTTTATTAATTTGCCAACAGTAAAACGTTTTCTCGCCAAAGTGACTGAAAAAGAAGGAAAGTTTTATTTCCAGGGTGTTGCACTTAACGACTTTGTAAATGCTAAACATTTAGTAAAAAAGTCTAAATCTATTCATATCGAGTTGGTAACAAATTCAATCATAGAGCGTTTGGAAACAAGCGATACTATTACTGATATGTATGGTACAAAAGTTTTAAATACAGAAGGTTGGCTTCAAAGTATTGAAAATGAAACATTCCAGGATGAAGGAATAGAAAATCTTTTTGACTTTTATAGAGCGCCGTTGCGACATGCTAGTTTTGCAGGAGCTGTAAATGATGTTTTGGATGCTTGGCATAGCTTGGTAACTACACTGTAAAATATTTAGCACCACATAATACCGGTTATCGTAAGTTATGGCATCAAATTTTTTCTAGCTCAATGAAAAATGAATGGGTTCCGGTTTTACTTATTGTCGAACTATTATTTACTTTGCCTGTTTCTAATGCGAAAGTTGAACGCCTTTTTTCACTAATGAATAGAGTAAAAACGGATACAAGAAACTCTCTGAAAGAGAAACGTTTAGAAAATTTAATTCGAGTAAGTTTCGATGAAAAAGATTCCAATTTATTTGATTTAAGTTCTGCTATCGAGTTATGGACCAATGATGCCGTGCGAAGGCCAAAACAATCAGTAAGAAAATGCTATTCCAAAAGAGCAAAAAAAGCAGGATTAAAAACATTAATCGACTTGGATTCATCATCTAACGAATCAAGTAATAAATAGCGCAAAACGAGATTATTTTTTCTCACCATTTTTTAGTTTAAAAAAGTTTTAATAATCAAATATTGCTTAAAAAGTTCATTACCTTTTTATTGTGTCATTTTTGTTAAAAAACGATCATTATATAAAAAACAATTGTTCGAGTCACAAAAAATATTTTTACGTCACTTAAAAGGCAACGCGTTGAAGTGAAAAAGTGAATTAAGAGCTAAGTTTAAAAGTAAAAACTATAAACGATAACGCGGACGTACGCTGTTGTATTCAAAAACCAATAGCGTTCAGCTAGTGTTCTAAAAATAGATTTTTTTAGTACTAAAAGGCATTAAGGTAAAGATATTTTAGAAAATTGCACAAAATCAATAGAATTTTCTAAAAACGCAATTTATTGTAGATTGATAGGTTGATAGCGGTAAAACAAACAATTTGACGTCACCTAAACTGTACGCTATTAAAGAAAAAGTTAAGAAAAATTTGATCGTCTGGATAATTTTTTGATCGTCTACTTTATTACTTTTATTATTTCTGCCGATATATATATATATATATATATATATATATATATATATATATATATATTTATATATACATACATATATATATATACATACATACATACATATATATATATATATATATATATATATATATATATATATATATATATATTTATATATACATACATATATATATATACATACATATATATATATATATATATATATATATATATATATATATATATATATATATATATATATATATATATATATATATATATATATATATATATATATATATATATATATATATATATATATATATATATATATATATATATATATATAGGCTTAGTCAGGAAGGAGTGCGATTTCACGACTTTATAATGCGACCACACAAATAATATTTTGTTTTGAAAATTTGACCATAGTTTTAACATTTTAATAAAGCGCAGAAAACTTAACTTAGTTATAAAGAAACTAAATAAACAAACTTATTTTAAAAAAAGAGAAAAAATCTTCTTAAAAAAACTATGAAAAATAAAATAAAAATAGCTTAGTAATAAATAACTAAATAAATCATTAGCAGTGAATTGTTACTTTATTTAAAACCGTTTTATTAATAAAAAAAAACATTAGAAAATTTAATTTAAACGACTTTAATTCAAAAGTTTGTCCTTTTTTCTTCTCAACAAAATCTTTCCGAGTGTATTAACTTTGATGATTCTTAAATAAAATTTATTAAAGAGGCAATCATTGTTTAAGTCGTTGTTGTTAAAGTGGTCGCTTATAAAATTTGAATAATTAAAAAATAAGATTAATTATAAAAAAATCTTATATGTTATTTTATTTATTAATTATATAATTTTATATATATTTAAATAATATAAATAAAAATTTATACAACTTTTATCTATACTTTAAATTAAAACGTTTACAGTAACTGTTACTTTATTTAAAAGCATTTCGCTAATACAAAAACGTTAGTAAAGATAAAAGTTTCAAAATTATTTATTTTTGACGTAATTGAAAAAAACAAATTTTCAGCGCATTTTTCAAATTTAAAAACTGTGGTCAAATTGTCAAAATAAAGTATTATTTGCGTGGTCATATAATGGCATGCCTTCCTGACTAAGCCTATATATACAAATAGTATTGCGTACTAAGGTAAGCAATCTGAAGTCATACTGAAATAGCCTGCTGTTGGGGGCTTCAGTACATACATCGACTGACTCGCAGTGGAGTGCTGCTACATCGACTGAGGGTTTGGGATGGGGCAGCAATCGTTTTATTCATCATTCTTCGTTTTTTTTTTTTTTTTCTTTTTCGAAAAAAACGGTACGGCTTAAGGTAAGAAGAAAAAGTGAGCAAATGCTTATATATATATATATATATATATATATATATATATATATATATATATATATATATATATATATATATATATATATATATATACAAGGGCTATTATTGAAAAAAAAATTTGGGCAGCAGTATCCCCCTTCTATCCCAGAGAAATTTAGCCGAAATATTGCCAAAAATCTGTGTTTTTTTGCAAAAAAATTATAATAAAAGCCATAAAAAACATAGTAAAAAAAAATTGGGCATCGATTTACGGGTGGCACCCAAATCGATGCCCAAATACGGTCGATGCTATCAAAAATGGTTTAGAATAGCCAATATATATATATATATATATATATATATATATATATATATATATATATATATATATATATATATATATATATATATATATACACATATGATATATAACCCTCAGAATTAGGGTCGGCATTCGGCAATGCCCACCTAACTGCCGACCTAAACATGTTGGCGGTCGGCAAAAAAATTCGGTTTTGCCAACCTCATTTTGATGTTTTACGGTAAGACCTTTGTATTTGCCGATCTGATGCCGACCTCTAAAAGATTGAGGTCGGCAAATTATTGCCGACCTCAATTTTCCTAATTCCGCGGGTTGGATATATATATATACACATATAAGATGTATATATACACATATAAGATATATATATATATCTACATATAAGATATATATATATATATATATATATATATATATATATATATATATATATATATATATATATATTTAAGGCCTTTTAATATTTTACTTTTTAATCTTTTTATGTATCATCTAAATATTAAAGGACTTTTAATACAGCAAAAATTATTATTCTTCATTTTTTTATTCTTTTTCTAAAAAACTGTTAAGATTTAAGTCACTATATAGTTTATAATGATTTATCAATTGCCTTAACTATTTTCATTATCTCTTTCACTGGGATAATCTTAATATGCCAGGTATGATAAGGTTCCTGTAAAAGTTGTAATTATTTTTAAAAAAGATTTAAAGTTAATAATATATAACTATAAACTAATATCTCTGATATTTTTTTAACTATAAAAAAATTCAAGAGTTTAATCAATTTTATGACTTTTTTAATTATTCCAAAATTCATAGCACTTTAAAATTTGGTTTCTAGATAAATTATTCAACATCATTTACTTTATCATGTTTGACTGAAAACATAAGATATGCTCTAGATTAAAACTTTTTTTAATCTTTATCCAAACAAATATATTGGCCTCCAAACTATAGCTTTATTATGGCCATTACAACTTGCTTAACACTTTGCTGATGACACAAATCTTCCTAATTTTAACAAATCAAACAATAAAATTAACAAATATGTTAACCATGATCTTGAAAATTCTGCAACTGGCAAAATGTCAACAATATTTTTCTAGAAATAAGTTTTCTTTATACACATTTGCATTAATAATAAGCTGTTAACTATCTTTATTGCTATTTATTTCACTCTAATAAAATTCTTGTTGTTGAGATTTCAATTAAAATTCAAAATCTTTTACATAATTATAGATTATGCTGCTTGTTTAGGTTTATATTATAAAATAAAATCTAATAATATACTTACAAGTAACTAAAAATTCTTTAGGATTTTTAGCAGCAAACTCTATAATATAATGAAAGAACTCAGTAAGTTTATCCCGCCATTGTCCCAAATTTAAGTACTCAGCCATTTTAATTGCTGGAAATTAATTTTCGAATCCGCAAAAAAAATTTGTTTTGTCACCATGGTTAGTTAATTTTTATCTCGGTTAGTTATATTTTAAAAAAAGCATATTTAGTAGGGGTGCACCTTGCCTACTTTTGGCCGATGCCGATGCCAATCGGTACAGGCCGATGCCAATGGCCCCGATATATGATGGAAGTATACACTTAAATGGAAATGCGACTATCTATTTATGTGACAATGAAAGCAATATTTTAAAATTGCTACTTTTAAAGTTTACTGTTAAAGTTATTTTCCATTTATTTATTTTTTTTGTTCTCTAGATAATTAATTCTCTAGATAATTAGATAAGTTACTTCAATTGAAACGCTCGTTTTATAAATATTTATTATCGTCATTCTGTTAAATTAAAACGATTTCGTGTTTTATAAAGAATGAATGGAAGATTTTGATGCCGTTACTTCCAGTGGATTAAGACTTTTTGGGGCCCGGGGCTGTTTTTGTTTTTGGAGGTCTTTTTATGGGCCAGAGCCTAAAAATGACTGAAAAAAAAAACCTCTAAAATTTTTGGGGGCCCCTAAATTTGCGGGGCCCGGGGCTAAAGCCCCCCACCCTTGATCCGGCACTGGTTACTTCTAATAATTGGCAAGTTTTTAGCAAATATTTTCATGAAGTTAAATTATAAAATAATACTTATAATATAATTATAAAGTAATACTTATATAAATGTTTATTTATTAAACGCTTTCATTTTAATAATAAACTTTTTTATTATTTACTTTTAATATAAATGTAATGAATTGTTTCGATTGTAAAGAATAACAGAAAGAGTTTCAAAAAATTTTTTGTTTAAAGCAATTTTGTCTTTATAATTTATTATTATTTAATGAAAAAAATTTTATAATTTATAAGAAAACACTTAAAAAGTGGAGAATCCTGTCAAAAGCAAAAAAATTTTAAAAGCAGTTCAAAAATTTTTAGTTTAGTGGTGGCATATAATATATGCAACCACTAAACTAAAAATTTTTGAACTGCTTTTAACAGGGTTCCCTACTTTTTAAGTGTTTTCTTATAATTTATAAAAAAAGTTTTATTAAATAATAATAAATTAAAAAGACAAAATTGCTTTAAACAAAGATTAGACGTTCCATTAAACAACTTTATTTAAAAAAAAAAGTTATGTCGCTCTTCACAATTTTGTTCAGGCTGCCGTTGTAGTTTTTGATTATGCCCTCTCAAAATATACAGTTTACAGTTTGAATGTTTTTTCGGGACGAAAAAACTGGCAAGATCGAGTTGATGCATGGTTTTAAATTTCTCGATAAGGTCTGCTCTTTTACAGCGTTATTCAAGTGTTGTTAGATCGTGCTGTTGGAGTCGATTTCCAAAGAACAAGTGTTTAATAGATGATATTGTTTTGTTGCTCGATGTTGGACTTGCTCGAGGATAGCAATGTCGGACTTTAAGTGCGCAGCCCGAAACTCAAGGCGGGGGCGAATGTAAATAAGATACAATGTGCTCCATAAATAAAAACTGCAACTGCAAGTTTTTTTTGATTTGCCCTAGCATTTTATTCGCTATTGATGTGGCTGATTCTATTTGTGTTTTTTTTTTTTTTTTTTTTTTACATTCATTTATTTAGCCGTACAAATATTTACAAGCTCCTTGTTTTTTAATATATAAAAAAATGGATAGGACGAGAGGAAGACAGGTTTGCCTTATCACCGAGTCCCTTGTTTTTTCCAGAGATTATATAAATACTTTGTAACTAAAATTAAAAATAAGAGAAAAAAGCAAAATGTTTCAAAGAAGTTTTTATAAAATGCAATATAGTTTAATAGAGTCTTTTGAAGTTATTTTTAATAAAAGTTAAGGAAGTAATTTAATCTCAATAACATAAAGGTTAACTTACGGTCATGCAATGCTATATATATTCAAATTTCAAAGTTATTCATTAACAAGAAAATTTTAAAAATTTATTCAAGAAAACAAAAACCAACAGCAACAACAACGAAAAAAGAAAACATGAAAAAATAAAAACATAAAAGTTAATTTACAATCAAAAGATACTATATATATATATATATATATATATATATATATATATATATATATATATATATATATATATATATATATATATATATATATATATATATATATATATATATATATATATATATATATATATACATATATATATATATATATATATATATATATATATATATATATATATATATATATATATATATATATATATATATATATATATATATATATATATATATATATATATATATATGAAATCAAAAGATACTACATGAAGGACTCAGCGGAATAGTGGTCTAAGCCACAATAACTTCATTTTTAGTAATTTGTAAAAGACTTCAAGGATCTTTTTAAAAATAACAGAAAAAAGTATCATTATCAGAAGGATAGTATTTATTATAAAGACAGGTGAAAAAACACACTGGTATATCTACTAAAAAATTAGGACACTATATTACTGTGTTCTGCAATAACAAAAAGGTTAGGCAACTTTGCCTCATCAAATTTTTGTAAGTATTGTTAATAGAGTTGGTTAGGCTAAACGGATGTTTTGTGTATGACTTGTTAATGATTTTTTTATATATGTAGCATTCACTAATTTATGTCTTCGTCACCAGAATCATCCGTTAGACCCAAATCAGTTGCCTCCTCATCACCTTTAAGAGCAAAATAATAGGGATGATGGACAGGCGGTATGAATTGTATTAGATGAAAAAGATCACTTAGCTTTTCTTTTGTGAGTTTTCTACCATTGGAATACAAAGACTCAAGTTCAACATTGATAGTGCCAGATAGCCGTCCACGATTTCACATTGTTACGTCCAGCAACATGAATCTGTCACTTTCTAAATGCGTTTGCTTCATTTGAAATAAGCGTGGTGATCCTTTTTCAATTTTTATCCAGCATGTCTTTAGCCATGAAACTTTTTCGCCATTTATTAATTTTTTTTCTACTGGTTATCCCACTCTCCAATGATTTTGTACTGAAAAATTCATGGGTCTCCATTTTTCTTACAATAAATTTTGGGGCTCCCTTCTTTGCATTTTTAATAAGGTCTATCCAATGGTCTGGAATAAATATTTGATCCTTCATTTTTTTGGCTTTTTCAATCACAGCAAAGTCTCGGTCGCAGGAGGAAAAACTATGCCCTGGTACAAAAAAATTCTGTTCAATGGTTTTCAGAGATGGAGATTTGTGCAAAATATATTGTAACATAAGAGACATTTTTATATTATAATTTTGGCCACCACAACTATCACTATACAATATTAAATGGATCACAGTTTCTGGTATGTGTCAAAAAACATGCTTGGTGATACACGAACCTTTCTCTTAAGTACCTCTGGATGTTTGTTCTTCACTCCATACATAAATAAATCCTGTTTTTAAGTTTTCATCATGGATTCTAAGATTATAAGTCCACATTTGCCTTTTATAGTAGGCTATTTCTGTACTAAGCACTAGTGTTAGTGGAGTTTTTTGTAAGTCAAAAACTAACACCCTCTTGTATGGATTTGTCTGTGCATCTAGTATATCCTCTTTCATTTTTACTTTTGCCTTTTCAGCCATCTCTTGATGAATAATAAGGTCCCTCTTAACAGTTATCTTTTCTTCACCCTCTGAAAGACACCTAATTTTATTGTTAAATAAATCACATTTTTGACATGTATCTGTACTGGTTGTCCTTTCGGCTATAGTGTGATTGGTATGTTGGAAATAAGCGAATAAAACTTTGAAGATATTTGCGGTCTTCGATAGGTGTACCGTCTGTTTTTTTCCTTGCTAAAATATTTTTTGTTGTCCCATCAGAGATCTGCAATGTGTCTTTGAAGTAAGTTTTGCAAATCTTTTTAACATTTCCACATGAATCAGTTAGTTTATAGGAAAGACTATTTGCCCTACGGAAGTGATTTGATGCAGTATATGTCCTGTGTTTTTCTTTTACATCAACAGAACCCGTTACAAAGCCGTTTTTTAAATCCCAGTTCATCGTGTAAAAGTTAGAAAAAATTTGATTACGGGGAGCAACTGTTATTTTACTGCTGCACTCTAGATTGCAACCACAATCTTTGTTAATTTGGTTTAACTATTTTGCCTTTTGTTGTAACATAACCTTCCCCTGTTAACCTTTAACCTTTTTGTTGTAACATAACCTTCCCCTGTTAACCTTTTCTGTTTTAGAATATTTCTTTTGCGTAGTTCTGGATGGGCAATTCACTTACGACTATGTCTGTCTGTCTGCTTTTTGCTTCTTCAGTGCTTCTTAGAAGCACTGTTTGGGTGGATTTTTGGGTTCAGGACTTTTTCCACAACAAACTACATACTCAATGTATGGTTTGCAGTGATTATCTGAAAAATTTCAAAAATGTGGGTTAGACCACTTTTACGCTGAGCCCTTCACGTGTATAAAAGATACTATCAGTGCCTGATCAAGGGGGCTAGAGGGGCTATAGCCCCGGGCCCCGCAAATTTAGGGGCCCCCAAAAATTTTAGAGGAACTTTTTTTTTTCGTCATTTTTAGGCTCTGGCCTATAAAAAGACCTCCAAAAACAAAAATAGCCCCGGGCCCCAAGAAGTCTTGATCCGCCACTGGATACTATATATACATATATATAGTATCCAGTATATATATACTGGATACTATATATATATATATATATATATATATAATATATATATATATATATATATATATATATATATATATATATATATATATATATATATATATATATATATATATATATATATATATATATATATATATATATATATATATATATATATATATATATATATATATATATGTAGTATCCAGTATATATATAACTATATATATATATATATAGTTACATATATATAAATATATATATATATATATATATATATATATATATATATATATATATATATATATATATATATATATATATATATATATGTATATATATATATATATATATATATATATATATATATATATATATATATATATATATATATATATATATATATATATATGTATATATATATATATATATATATATATATATATATATATAAGTAAGATAATTATATATACATATAATT